GTGCCATCTTCGCCGGGCTGGGAATGGCCCCCGTCATCTCGGGAGGTTTCGCGGCTATCATCTTCATGCTCATTAAGTTGGTCGTGCTCATCCGCAAGAACCCCATCCCCTGGGCGGTCTACAGTTCCCCCTTCTTCTTCCTCATCGCCGCCACGATCTGTACCCTGTCGATCGTCTACAAGGGCTCTCCCAGTCTGGGTCTGTCCAAGAAGCCTAGTTGGTACATTGCGGCGGTCACCATGGGCACCGGTGGAGGCGTCATGCTTCTCTCTGCCATCTTCTTCGTTCCCTTTGTGTACTCCCGCGTCATCAGAAAGGATCACAGTGTGAAGTGGTGGATGTTCATCATGGGCCCCATGCTGCTGACCCGCCCCGTTGTCACTCATGGCGAACAGGCCAAGGTTCCGGACTACGCCGTCGTGCAGGGAAGCTCCGAAGACCTCACGCTAGGCTCCCCGGATACTCTCCGCGGCGATGATGTCAAGCGGTCCACCCAGGCTGGCGTCGAGTCAATCCAGTCCCGCAGTGAAGAAGGCGAGAAGCGCATGGTGGCGGGAGAATCTCAGCAACTGACCTACAAGGAACTCATGGAACAATCCGACCGTCGGCTGCGGGAGCGGCTGCTCAAGAAGCGTGGACCCCTGGGCTGGGCGATGCGTACTCTCCGCGACAACCCTATGGGAGCCGGCCAGCTGTATGAGGTGCATAATATGGTGATTCTGGCGAAGCGCATTCCCGCGATGATTGTCTGTGGACTTCTCTACGGTCTGCACTATGATATTCACGCTGCTCAGTCTGGTATTGCGGGCACCCCCGAAGGCAAGCGCATGCAGCGCGTGTACAGCCACGCTGCAAAGTATCCCAACGAAGTCGAGCACACCTACTCGTTCATCCAAGTCTTGACCGCTTGCACTGCCTCCTTTGCTCATGGTGCCAACGACATTGGTAACTCGGTCGGTCCTTGGGCGGTCATCTACTCGGCCTGGTCCACGGGCAACGCAGCGGCAGCCAAGGCACCGGTGCCCATATGGCAGTTGGCGGTGCTGTCAGGATGTATCTCGATCGGGTTGATCACGTACGGCTACAACATCATGAAGGGTAAGTCGATACCATCGTGGGGATTGTCATGTGTACTAATGGAGTATAGTCATGGGCAACAAGATCACCTACCACTCGCCGAGTCGCGGTTGTTCGATGGAGATGGGAGCTGCGATTACCGTTCTCGTCTTCTCACAGTACTCACTGCCGGTGTCGACCTCCATGTGCATCACGGGCGCTACCGTCGGAGTAGGACTGTGCAATGGCACACTCAAGGCCGTCAACTTCCAGCGAGTCGGGCTGCTGCTGCTGGCGTGGATCATGACGATTCCCATCGCGGGCACGTTGGGTGGAATTCTGATGGGATTGTTCATCAATGCGCCGCATTTCTCATCGTAGATTTTTTTCTGATGTAATTAACCTTCTGATATCTTTCTGATCGATGGATCAAGGCCTGGTGTGGCACGGAGTTTGTTTCTGTTCTTACTACAATACCCCGATAATGTGATACTTCTACTGCCACCAATTCTGCACGTCCAGCAATTGTATAAGCGTACCGATGAAGGTGATTGGCCGATTGATCGAGATACGCCGTGGGTTCGGGACGAGGCCCGTCTCGAGCAGTCTGGCCGATATCGCAGCACGACGATTGGCTTTGGATGAGGGGGACGGCTTATCAGCACGACATCTCATGAGGGGTCTCCAAGGGACCCTGCATTAACACTTCTATATAGGATTCAACACCCTCAACTTGGATTCTGACCATCATTCTACCACCATGGGCAGTATCATCGAACCTCGCTACCGCCTGGGAGTGGATGTAGGCGGTCCGTCTCTAACCCCACCACCCACTTTTACTTCAACTGTCTCACTGACAGTTTACATCCAGGAACCAACACCGACGCCGTTCTCATCCGTCTCGATCCCGTCGCCATCGTTGCCTCGCACAAAGCACCCACTACTTCAGATGTCACCACCGGCATCACCACCGCCGTTCAGGCCGTCATTGCAGCAGCAAAAGTGCCCCTCTCGTCCATCGGATGCGTCATCATCGGGACTACCCACTTTGTCAATGCTGTCGTACAGCGCTCACCATCTCTACGCCGTGTCGCTGTAATTCGACTATGTGGAGGTCCCGATGAGGGATTCGGTCGCAATATCCCTCCCTTTGTCGACTTTCCCCTCGATCTGCGTGCGCGTATTGAAGCATCGCGGCCCTACTTCTGCCATGGCGGATACCAGATCTCTGGGGAGGAGATCAGCCCCCTGGATGAGGCGGAGCTTGAGAGCATAGCGGTGCAGTTGGTCAATGATGATATTTCGAACGTGGTGATCGCCGGAATGTATGCGCCATTGGATCATCGTCAGGAGATGAGGGCAAAAGATGTTCTTTTGCGATCGATGGAGAAGCATGCTGGTCCTTCATGCAAAGCGCGGATTACTCTCTCGCACGAGGTGTCTGGTTTGGGCTTCCTGGCTAGAGAGAACGCGGCCATTCTGAACGCCACCCTGCGTCCACTGGCCGAACGAACGATCTATGGCTTTCAAAAGGCCATGGAGGATATCTTCCAGGATGTTCCGTATACTCTGTATCTGACACAGAATGACGGAAGTGTTCTCAGTGCGGCTGAGGCAGTTCATCTCCCCATCCGGACGTTCAATTCAGGCCCGACCAACTCTATCCGTGGTGGGGAGTTTCTCTGGCGTGCGGCTACCGAAGCTGCGCAGCTGCAGAAAGAGCAGACAACGCGCACAGAACCATTGGTGGTCATCGACATTGGCGGAACCACCTCTGACAGCGGCCTACTCCTACCTAACGGCCTGCCACAGATGAGCTCAGTGACGAGTCTGGTCGGGGGTGTGCGCACCAACTTTGCTCTACCCGCGGTGGAAAGCATCGGGCTAGGTGGAGGGAGTATTGTCCGCAACATCGGACAAGATGATTGTTCCGTGGGTCCGGATAGTGTAGCCCACGAACTGTTCGAGAAAGCCCGGATGTTCGGTGGAGAGTACCTCACTGCGACCGATATCGCTGTGGCATCTGCTGTCAATGGCGTGACGGAGATGAACCCACTGAAAGGAATGGGCGATACCTCCAGACTAGAGGATATAAACCTGCAAATGGTGAATCAGGCACAATCCCTCATGCGCCGCAAGATCGAGGAGCTCGTCGATCGTACCAAAATTCATAAAGACGACGTGGACGTGCTCATCGTTGGCGGCGGGGCACCTATCATTCGCACCGATGAACCTTTGCTAGGTGTCCGACGAGTAGAGACCGTCAAGGGCGGGGAAGTCGCCAATGCTGTGGGTGCTGCTATCTCGCGCGTCTCGGGTGTAGTGGATACGGTCGTTGATACCTCGAACCGCACTGTCAAAGAGGCACAGGAGGCTGTCTCCCAAATGGCGATTGACAAAGCACTTGGCAACGGTGCTCGGCCGGAAACAGTACAGGTGGCGGAGGTGACCATGCTACCCATTCAGTATGTCGAAGCTAAGGCACGCATTGTGGTGCGGGCCGTGGGGGAGCTGGACATTGTATCGACATCATTCGCAGACAAAGCCATTCCTGTCCCAGACGAAGAAGTCCCTGACACAGACACTATTGCTCTTCCACTTCATACACTCAATCTAGCAACCCCCCAACCCGACCTTCACGCCTACCGCCCTCACATCCAAAACAACCAATGGATCATCTCCCCCACCGACCTCGACTTCATCACCCGCGGCTGTAAAATCCTCGGCTGCGGCGGCGGCGGCGATCCCTACCAGGAATACCTAAAAGCTAAAGCTTACCTACAAAGCCACCCCGGTACCGTCCGCATTATATCCCCGGACTCCCTACCCGACGGCAGCCTCGTCGGCTGGACCGGCTGCATGGGCAGTCCGGAAGTGAGCATGGAGCGACTCGAGAACAGCGAGTGTCTACAAGCCCACGAAGAACTAATGAGGGTGACCGGCAGTGATCCAGTCTCCGCATTCCTAGCCTTGGAGATTGGTGGTGGCAACGGCATGGTAAATCTCGGTGTCGCCGCACATTACGGCGTTCCCTGTCTAGATGCAGATTACATGGGTCGTGCGTATCCCACCATGTGGCAGGTTACACCAAATGTGTATGATTCCCCGAGGGGAGAGGCGCTCGTTCCGGCGGCGATCGCTAGTGGCGATGGTACGTGCATGACGATGACGAGATCGCGCACGGATCGGCTGGTGGATAAGGCGATGCGTGCAGCGGTTGTTGAGATGGGGTGTCGCGCAGGCAGTGCGGGTCCGCCTCATCGAGCGGAACGGGTACGACAGCAGGCGATTCGGAATACGGTTTCCCTGGCGTGGTGGATTGGAAGAGCTGTGACTCTGGAGAAGAATATTGCGGATAAGGCGATGCGGATTGTGGAAGCGGCGGGTGGACCGGAGAGTGGTGCCATACTGGGCGAGGGCAAGGTGGTTAGTGTGTCAAGGGTGTTGAAGACGGGCCATTCTTACGGTGTGTTGGAAGTAGATGGGCGGTTGAGTGATGGACGCAAAGCGACGCTGAACATTCCGTTCAAGAATGAGAATGCCTACGTCGAGGCAGTGCTGGAAAATGGCGAGAAGAAGATCCTGGCTGCCGTGCCGGATCTGATTGTTGTGTTGGATGCGGAGTCTGGAGCTGGACTGGGGACCCCTGAGTTCAAGTATGGGCTTAAGGTGGTGGTGTTGGCTATCGCAGCGTCGCCAAGATGGACGGATACGCCGCGGGGGATGGAGTTAGGCGGACCCAAGTCGATGGGATTCGAAGAGGTGGAATATGTTCCGATTGGAAAGTATTGCGAGCCGCGGAGCGTGATTGATGTGTTTGGATAGACCAGCTATATTGCAGGTTGGTTTAGAAGAGAACATAGTAGATAGAGAATTGTGTTGATTCATATATGAATGGCTGCAATATCCATCGTCAAGCACATATACAAAGCGTACAATCCCTCCCCACAGGCAGTGAACCGATACCTATCGATCACTCACACTAACCCTAACACTATTCTTCACATGAATCCCAGCATTCGCATCCACCCACAACGCCTCCTGACTGGCATTATCCCCAATACTCGCCCGCGCCTCATTGGGATAACTATCCGGCCCCTCGTACAGATGGTGGTCGCCACTAACAGGCACATTCTGCAAATGCAGATCCGGACCACCATTACTCCCTGGTGTCTGATCCGTTCCTTTCCGGGTACTGCCCGCCACAGCACCGACTAGACCCTTCAATGCTGGCAACGACAGGGCGATGATGGCCGTGCTGACTTCGGTATCGGACCACACCATCACGACGGAGAAGTACCATGTTGCGTCGGTTTTCTGGATAGCGGGGATCATGGAGATGATGCGGGCGACGGAGGTCCTGGATGTATTAGTTGAGATGTATTATTTGTATATGGCAGTGGTACTCACATCACGGCACTGGATTGAGAGTTCAAGGGTTAGTAAAGGTCCACCGAGAAAAGTTAATAGAGGATGTGAACCTACAAAACACCAAAACACAACACCACACTCAGCGCAGCCTTGCGCGTTGCATTCGCCTTGATTGAAAGCACAATCTTGACCGGTAGCAGCAGGATAAGCGAGTCGCAGATGATAGTCATCGCAGCAGTGGAGATAAACACCGTCTTCGATCCCAGACACTTCCCGGTAGCACCGCCCCAGAGCGCAGCGAGCGGGATACATTGCAGAGCGATGATGAGGACCTGGGCGAGCATAACGGCTGTGACGAAGGCAAGCGAGATTCGGAGGTACAGTTGAAACTGAGGCATCGGGTTCAATCGACGGTAAAAGGCCAGTCCGGATAGTCGACACACCCACAATGCGATCATGTATACCAGCTGCGCAGAGACGAGCCATTTGTACAGCAGTGGGGTTTCGGCGGTATCGAGGGCCCAGACGTGTAGGCCGGCGCCGTAGCGGAGGACTTGGGTTGTGAGGGCCATGACGACGATGTTTAAGAGCTGTCATTTTGATTATTGTCAGGCTTTGTGTCCCTGGTGGGAATTTGGTAGGTATCCTACCATCGCTATGCAGATGAGTCCATCGTCCCAGCCAAAACTGCGGATCATGAACCATCGCGCATAGACTCGAATCAGGACAACCACTCCAGACAGTGCCGTCACGACTCCAATTCCGATCCTCGCCGCAGGGCGTCGGTCCTGCGCCAGGAACTCGGGCGTTAGGTCAGGTGTGCTGGTCGACGCCATGGCAGATGCAGGGCCGCTACATGAAGGCGAAAGATGTCGAGGGGCGCGGACACGGAAGTTCTTCAGACATTTGGTGGGTAGGATATGGAAGGGTTTTTGTCTGCCGTATCTTCCTGCAGGAACAAGGGTGTCAAAGACTAATGCAGGATTGCAGAGCCGTCGCGAAAGGATGAGGAAAAGCCGACAATCCTCATAAATGAGTAGTGGGACCCTCCTGGGGACGGATGCACTCAATCTGTCTTCCGGCAAGACCACAAAGGGTATTATGAAAGGTCTGGATCGAGGGGTTGGCTTGCTTGTTCCTTGCTGGTGACACATGGGTCCACTCGATCCTTTCACGTCATGGAACCTGGGTGGAAACGCTATCGATATTGACCGTACATGATTTGCTGGATACGAAGAGAAGCTCGCTTCGATTCCACCGCGCCCCGTCAATGCAGGCTAGATTCAAGGGGAACAATTGGCCACGGCGTCCCGAATCTCCACTGAACGTTTGCCATCTCCGAGGGTGGGCCTTTCTTCATGTCACTGCCATGTGTATGCTGAACGGATAAATTGCGAAACCTAATGAGTGCTGCTTTCCATCATACTGACTGACTGAAGTGTTCATCCTAGTTTGACGGATATGGAACCTGTCCTATTGAAGCTGCTCGCTTAAAACCTAATGGCTCAATCCTGCGCACTGCAGGAAAAAATCAGATAGCGGCCGGGGAATGCCGTTAGCGCAGCGTTAGCAGCAACACTAAGCTGCACCGGTGCGTCGCATGCTTCCTCCAATGCAAGTCACCCCCGAGAAGGGTTTACGCGGAAAATACAAATAGCAAGCCAAGGATTGACTCAAATTTGTCTCGAATTTCGGGAGATGCTTGGTCACCCACCAGGACCCAACATGTCCGTCCTGTTTGCTCCCGTCTGGCTCCCTGGGAGTCTGGCATCCCTGCCAGTCTCGGTGCCATTCCTGCTGCTTATTCTTATTGCGGTAATTGCCCTAAAAAGGCGCTATGCAACTTCTATCCGGGATATTCCTGGTCCCTGGCTGGCCTCAATTTCGAGCCTCTGGCAGGTGTACCAGTTGATCAAGGGCCACACGGAACAGGAGATCGTGAAACTTCATCGCCGACATGGTCCGTGCATCTCCAGAGGTTCGCCATTACACAATTCATTTACTAATAGGTGGAACAGGCAGTTTTGTCCGCATCGCCGACAACGAGGTCAGCGTCGCCCATCCTGATGCGGTGCGCTTGTTGCTTCATGCCAACATCGCCAAGGTATGTTCACGGAGTAACTTATCCCTGTATGCAATTCACCACACTAAGTAACTCTAGGGATCGTGGTACTCGATCTTTAGCCTGCCAGACTATCATTATGTGAACCAAATGTCAGAATTGGATCCCCAGCGCCACATTCGCAAGTCTCGCAATGTAGCGTCGGGGTATGCCCTGTCAAACATTATTAAGTCCGAGCCTTATGTGGATGCCCTATTGGGCCTCCTCGAGGACCAATTCGATAAACTGATCGCATCGGGCCAGCCAGTAGAGTTTGATCGCTGGTTCAATTACTTCGCCTTTGACGTGGTCGGCGAAGTGACTTTTTCCAGTCCTTTCCGGTTCCTCGAGACGGGCACCGATATCCGCAATGCCATCGCCAATACTCGCGCCCTGGCGTTGTACATCGCCATCATGGGGCACTACGTGTGGCTACATAATCTCACCTTGGGGAACCCATTGCTCAGTCGAATTGGTCTGCAACCCTCTTCGCATATCTTCGACACCTGCCTGGCCGCCATCGATAGTAGAAAGAAGAACCCCGCCGTCAGACTGGATATGATGGAGCGCTGGTTGCATGTGCGCCGCACGTATCCCGATCGCATGGACGAGGCGGAGGTTTTTGGAGCTGCTGTCGCCAATATTGGCGCCGGCGCTGATACTACGAGTGCCACGCTACAGGCATTCTTCTATTACATGCTCCGCCATCCGCACTACCTGCAGAAGCTGCGCCAGGAGGTGGATGAAGCCCACGCTCGGGGTGATCTGTCGCATGTGGTATCTTATGCTGAGGCAGCAAAGCTGCCCTACCTCCAGGCCTGTGTATGTGACCCTTCTTCGATCGCGATAGCCATACTGATGAGTGTAGATCAAGGAAACCTATCGCTATCACCCGGCTACCGGCACTGGGCTGCCTCGTGTCGTTCCGGCGGGTGGTCTCACCATTGGCGGACGGCATATCACAGAAGGAGTAAGTCATAAACCTCCATTGATGGCAAGCATGCTGACATTGTTGCAACAGACACTTCTCAGCATCAACCCCTGGGCTTTCCATCGGAACCCAGAGCTGTTCGGACCTGACTGTGACGACTTTAACCCAGAAAGATGGCTTGACCCTGAAAGAGCCAGACAGATGGACCCGTTCCTCATCCACGTAAGTATCTCGCCTTTAAGTAGAGGACACATTGCAGTATATTGACTACAGACACAGTGGGGAGCTGGATACAACCAATGCCCCGGCCGGAACCTGGCCCACTTTGAGATCTCCAAGGTCTCTGCCACTATCATCCGCGACTTTGACATCGAACAGGTTGATCCCAAAAAGTCATGGCGGTTTGAGACCCATTTTACGGCTGTTCCGTATGGCTGGCCTTGTTGGCTGCGTCGGCGGCAGACTACGGCGTAGCGACGAATGACCCCAAGAAGTCTTATTCCCAATGCATATGACGCAAAGAGAGAACGAGAACACCGAGCATGTTAATAGGGAATTTTCAGTAGACAGTAAATGATAATATAGAACCTCACTCGACACCAAAATCCCCCTTGGCAGTAGCCCCCTCATTTGCATGCCACTTTCCGTATTTCTCCACCAATCATCTGCTACTCAGTGAGAAAACATAAAATAGCCCGCATGGCAGCACTACCCCACGATCTCTACTCCCACCCCCGTATTGACTATGTACATCAACCCCATACTAGCGGGATTCAACCCCGACCCCTCCATTATCCGGGTTGGGAAGGACTTCTTCCTCGTAACATCCTCATTCGAGTACTTCCCTGGTGCCCCCATCTACCACAGCACCGATCTAATCCAGTGGACCCTGATCGGACATGCCCTCACCCGTCCCAATCAACTTCAGATCCAGACCCCCGAGCCAGGTGGTGGTGTATGGGCTACAACATTGCGTTATCACAAAGGCGTGTTCTACATCCTCGCTGCCTCCTTCCAGCGTTATCGGCCTCAGGAAGATGACCGGGTCTGGCCGCGGGGATTCTACGTGAAGACCACTGACATTTGGGACTCGAAGTCGTGGTCGGACCCGGTGTATTTCGACCAGGTTGGCTTTGATCAGGATGTTAGACGCCCCATCCGCCTCCCAATCAGTCACAACTAACTCGTGGTGCAGCTCTTCTGGGACGACGACGGCACCGTCTACCTCTCAAGCACATATCGCAAGCTTGAGCGAACCCCCGGTGCAAACATTAAAGATTTTGCCGTCCACATTGTCACTGTGGACTTAGAAACGGGTGCCTCCACTTCAGAGCCCAAGCTAATCAGGGAGTCATCCTCAGGCGTCGCGGAGGGGTCGCATATTTTCAAACGCGGCAAATACTATTACCTTTTCACTGCGGAGGGTGGCACTGAGAGCGGCCATTGCGAATGGGTCAGTCGCAGTAGCACTGGTCCGTTCGGGCCGTGGGAGGTTGGGCCGAATAACCCTCTCTGGCGGAATGGAGTGGATGATGACGTTCAAAATACTGGACATGCGGATCTAGTGGAAGATGCGCAGGGGCAGTGGTGGGCTGTTTTGTTGGGTGTGCGTCCCGTATGGAAGGATGGCAAGTGGGAGGAATCTGTTTTCGGTGAGTACTTCTCCAGTTCTATATTGGGCACAGTATGCTAATGCTGATTACAGGCCGCGAAACCTTCCTAGCTCCGGTAGACTGGGAAGACGACTGGCCAATTGTCAATGGTGGCCAGAAAATCCCCCTTCATTGCGACAGTCCCCACCTCTATGAGCTCCCAGTTCCAGTCGCATGGCGTGATGACTTTTCAAACAGCGAGCTGCAGCTTGGCTGGTATCGCAAGAACACACCAGTTGTGCGTGACTACTCTCTTACCGAGCGACCGGGTCACCTTCGCCTCTACGGTGGTCCATACAATCTATCCGTTCCAGCGTGCCCAACACTCTTCCTTCGCAAGCAGACCCATCGATTCTGTACGTGGGAGACACGACTGTCCTTCCAGCCAAGAAACCAGGCATGCGAAGCTGGTGCAGTGGTCTGGTGGACGTATTTCACCTACAGCAGCATCGGGATTCGCCGAGCGAAAGACGGCCAGCGTATTGTTCGGCTACGTTCTCCAGGAGGCGAGGTGGTCAAATTCGGTCTACGTCATTTCCAGTCGGATGTTCGCTTGGTGATCGAGTGCGGAGATAGATACCGGTTTGGATTCCAGGAACTCAGCGACGTTGAGTCGGATAATGGTTTGGTTCAATGGATTGGTGAAGTGGAAAATAGCAGTATGACGGCAGCACCGCCGGTGGGAGTGGCTTTTACAGGCATGATGCTGGGATTGTATGCATTTGGAGAGCGGCAGCGCTGTCTAGATCCGGCTGACTTCCACTACGCGCAGTGGAAATAGGATGAGGCCTCGATATATTCACTGTAGCTAGTTACGGCCAAGTCTTTGGCAATCGGTGCTAACCCCACTCCCAATCCGAAAGTTATATTAAGGTTTTGTTGCTTTGCTTCTGGATAAGGCTTTATATTATAATACACGGTACATATCTGTTACCCTGAGATAAATCAGAATACTCTGAAAACAAGTAAAACAATCAGGGAGAGCCCTGGGCCCGTACATTCAGTAACAGCTCTCTTCGGAGTAGGATGTAACTTGACTCAATTACAGGATGTCTGATCTAGGTAGATTGATAAAATAGAGGTATGTAATCTTTCTAGTCTCGTCGACAGCGCATCGAACGTTCAATGCTCCAGTCTTGATACATGTTCTTGGACTACAACCAGCGAGCGCAACCCTCGAAGCCTCCGACATCCGCATGATATAAAACGCGGTGCCACTACGAGTTACTATTAGTGGCAATAGCCACATGACTACACAGATTATAGCAGTCCGGCCCTTATATCTGAATGTCTCTTCTGTTAGCAGGTTCTGGAAGACTGCTATCCAGGGATACCGGTCCACAGCGGCCACCGGGGCGAGGTGAGGAAAGTATTAGAAGTAATATTTGAGGATTGCCTGGTAACATTGAACTGGTCCCTGGTATATAGCCTGAGGGTTATAGTAGAGAAAAAAGAAAGAAAGAAAAAAAAAAAGGAAAAGGTAAAGCAAAGAGGGGGATCAACGAGATACAGGATAAGCACCACTACGGGATACTGTGAGATGATAAGGATCTTGCCAGGGTGCCGCTTTCTTCTTCCTTATCCATGTTCTCGATGATCTCCCGGACTTTCTTTCAGTGGGAAGACCCCTCGATTACAGCAAACGAGTTCCGACGTCGTCATTACGATATATTCCCCGGAATTATTCTCTGGCACTGCATATAAATGTAAAGCGATATGAGTATAACACTAACTTGCTGCTCTCGGGATAGCTCCTGGCAACAATGGAATGTGGTGTTCTTTTGAGTCTGTCGCCGGCCGGCTAACAATGTCGCTCATGAAGATGTCTTTCCATGTATACAGCAATAATGCGATAGTGTCAGATTCTTCAGGGGTCACCATGTCCCCAATAAGGCAATTGGGTTCACTGGTTCATGTTGCCGCTGTTGCGGTGTCGATCACTAATTTTCGTCGAAAATATTCAGATCTCCTGTCTGTAGGGAAGCTCAACCGGCCTCATGCTTCAGTTCCAATGGTAGGGCAGGTCTCTTAACATTCTGGTTTCTTCTAACCCTCTTGCTCAAGCACAGTAGTCTATCAGCTACCCGTGTTTGTTTAAAGGCATGCAAAATCAATGGATTTTGAAAGTTTGCAGGCAATTGGATAAAACATCCCCAAGATGCAAGTCTTGCCCTGCCCATAAAGCCTGATTTAATTTATATGTCTGGGACAGCATTAATGTTCTTATTCCTGCTGCTGTTATATAGGTAATATAAGGCTATAATTCGACCTGTTTGGAAGGGCGATCGCTCCTTGCACTGGGATGGGTAGATAATGAAGGGAAGAAGATGGAGAAGAAAAGAGAGCTGCGGAAGCGCAATATATATAGCCATCCAGAAGACGCCATCCAGTGAAGGACGGTCTGACCGTAGTGAGTTTCATGGTATGGTATAAGGGAATAAGCAGCTACTATTCACAATTGAGGTGAATCGCAACCTATCAATCCATGCTATATGTACGTAGCGGCGAAAGGATTTAAGGTGTGTTTGGTGATAGGTGGGCACGATATATCAGCCGGTAAATGATTGGAACCAGGGGGCAGCTTACATAGAATTGAATGGACTTATATTCTCTGCACAGGTGAAGATGTATTGCCCCAGCTGAGGCCAGGCCAGGATGGTGGTAGTTGCTGGGGAACCTCTGACATTTTTCATTACATTCATCGTAGTTCAATTCAATTCATGCGATTAAATTTGATGGCACCAGTAAAGAAAGGAGCCAACTATGCACGTGCTTCGATAAAGTATGAATATGGCCCTGACGATCGTCAAATCCCCCCAGCTCGCGGAAGCACAGGCATTCATGGAGCAACGTGTGATGCGGAAGGAGGAAGACAAATCCCCACGGCCCCACGAAGAGGGACCACTCCTTGATGGAAGACTTATTACCACTTATGTTTCACACACTTTTCCAACTATTGTAGAACTGAATTTATGTCAATAAATATTCAGAAGTAATTGACTTTGGGCCTCCACCTTAGTACTAAAATTGAAAGCTATAGCCATCTTTATTATTCCTCAATACCTCCGGTTCCAGCTCATCAGCATTATCCGTGTCATAATCCGGGTCCTCCAGCTGGATTCGCTTCCACGTCACCTTCGACGCTGCCTTCCACTCAGCCTCCTGGAAATCATTCGGCCATCCGTATTGCTCCTGGAGGACTTTCTTCATTCCCGGATACTGCAGATCAAAAGAATGTGTTAGGCTCAGACTCATAACATGCAATGAATAGAAAAATCTGCATACCACATCCTCGTAGTATTTATTATACAATCTGCGAGTACATCGTGACGGGCTTGGGATGATTTCGAGTGATCGGAGCTGTTGCAGATACGCGGCTAGATAGCTGGGAGCATGAACCGGAGTATACTTGCGGTAATCGTCCATATCATCACCCGGGGGTGGATCATCGAACGTCCAAACTCGGATGGTATCTTTAGAGGAGAAATGTAAGGAAGCTGAATCCTTTACTGGCCAGGCCAATTCCGAGCTTTCATCATTTACTTACTTTCTTTCGTATCCAGAATGACATGGACGCCTTCATCAATGGAACAGGTCAGCGCAATCTCCCGCGGAAGCAGGAAATCTGGCCGCGGCGTCTCGGAGTAGCTGAACCGGTCGGGGTCGCGGCCACCACGAATTTCGTCGTCTTCGAGGTATACAAACGCACGGGAATATGGGGGGATAAACTCGACATCATCGGCGATCTCTGAGAATCGGAAATATGGTATTCGCTTCATCAACGAAATCACCACGGGATCGAGGTGGAGCTCCTCGCACAGAGCCTGGTTGATAGCGTGGCCATCAGGCGTGGGCGGCCAGGTGACCTCCCAGTCAGAGATATAGTTCAGCTGTAAATAGACGCGGTAGATATCACTAATGAGGTTGACGATGGTATCCTCACTATAGGCGAGGCGGGGTGAGTGCATATCGGCCGTGACACCACCTTGTTGTTCTTCATGACGACCTTCCAGCGAGTCTGTGATAAAGAGATTCTGCATGGTTCGAGAAGCGATCTCTCTGTGGTTGACTCAGTACCAGTGACCCGCTAGTACAGTCACGACGATTATTGTAGTCAATACTTGGATCACAGAGGATATAGGGCAGACAACTCTGCAGAGAAGGATTGCTTTCCCCGTGGTAAAGTGGGTACTAAGGATGACTCATCAATGGAGAAAATTAACGTAAACAACGGTCGGACGGGCCACACGGTTGGGCGGGCCATCCTACTATCCCATATAAAAGATGTCTTTTTAATTCTTTTATATATCAACTAATACTGCTTTGAAAAGGTTCTAACTTTGTAGTTAGATTATATATACAAGAATAAATATCATCTTTTTTTCTCAGATTTTCAAATATTCTTTTCATAGAGTCAGACCATCGTTTTATATATTATAGATAAAATACAGGTATTGTATTATAATAACTGAATAATCATATATATCAGAGATTTTGGAAAGCATATAAAGATTCTTTCTAGTATTTACTATATATATACAAGTAAATCTAGTCCTTATAGACTTAAAAGGCTGGAATATCTTGTGATTCAAAAAGTATCTTTTGTATAATATTACCAGGTGGCCCGCCCAACCGTGTGGCCCGTTCGACCGTTGTTTACGTTATTCTTCAATGCTGAGATGATCATCAGTGGAAGGAATATTGGCGCATTGCCATCTCATTTTATGTGACAAAATTATTGAGACCTCTCTTCAGTCTGAGTTTAATTTATAATAATATTACACGGCTGCAGGGCATCGTTATGAGGCTGCTGCTGTTGCTGCCTATCAGTTCCATCGGATGCCTGCATTGTGGGGCAGCAAAAAGATGTTGTGGAAGGGCTTCAAGACGCCGCAAGACACACAAATTCCACCCTTGGCCCCCTTCAGAGCGAATTAAAAGAAAACCATTCCAAACAGTTCAACAATCAGCAGTAATCCCCAGTTGCTATTTTTGTTTTTCTTCTCTGCCTCTAGTTCTTTGCTTTTATTGCCTTTTTATATGGATGTAGCTGGACGGCCTCGACAGTACCCTGCTCCTGCAATTCGCGGCTTAGAAGTATCATTTCGATCCATGACGCGTGTGATGGTCGAGTCATCCCCTACCCTGTATTTTGGCGAACATACTGCTCTACATCGCTATCTCCGAAAGATTTGTATGCTCAATGGAAATTCCTATGCTGCCTTTGCTAATGTCAGAAGTTCTTATACACTCATGTAGCTGACATTCTACCTGGTCACGGCCCATTCACATTGCAGAATCGTAACGGTGTAGAATACCTCCGCCTGCTACGCAGTAGACTGCGCCACAGAAGGTTCATTGATTCACTTTACCTCTGTGGACAACATGAACAGTAGCCTGTCTGCATCGCTCTAGCTAGAACCACAGTGTGGGTGGGTATAACATGCGGATCGGCAAATGCAAATTGCTCATGTAATTCTTTCTAGCGCCCAAGTAGCTCTCTAATGCAAAAGAAGAAAAAAGAATTGAAGATAGTCAAGATACAGATATCATTGATGGCATTTATTCATAGTGGCTAACTAAATGTTTACTTGATGACATCCGCCTAATTCCAGGCCATCTATTAAATTTAATTCAAATCTCAATAGATCTGGGTACTTCCGCTCTTCCGCCCAAACGTCATGATGGGGATGGGCATCCATGAATCATGAAGAAACTTAAAATATAAGTCGATGACTAAGCACATAGAACTTGACACCCGTCATAAGGGAACACACTAGCTGTGTATAAGAACTTATCTCTAATTGTTTTACTCGACTAGCTTTGATATGAACACTACTGCTAAGAAAGGAAGGACTAATATTGTAAGACATGTTTCCTGTGGTATGGATATGCTTGTGTATAACATATCCGGTTGGTGTTTTACTGTGATTCAGAGTACAACGCCTGTATCGTTACCTCTCGCTTTTCCGAGGGACGAACTGGAGGTTAGTTTAACTGCCATCTATCATTCACGAAAGGAATGTGCGACGAGCCAATCAGAGATCGTATAATCGGATACGCTTTTGAACTATGTGGCCGTTACATATCCCCATAAAACCTTTTACAACTGACACCGTCGGCCCACTATGTCCCCGCATCGACCCACGACACCTAAAAAGAAGAACTGAATCCCTTGAGCAATCCATCATTATCTCCGGTAGAGCCGAACATCCACTGGTATTAACGCGGATATAGTGAATTTAAAGCGTTCTCTTGTTGTGTTCGGCGTGAATTCTAGCTTCAATCTTGTGTATGTAATTGTGAATGTAACCTTTCGAAATACTACTGTGCGCCTGAACTTGGTGCGCATACTGATTTCGTTTCAAATTCTCACCTATACAGATCTTTATAGGGTATTCGGTCATGATCAATCAGCTCGTTAATACTCCTGGCTTGCGCGAGTAAAAGTGCGGTCCTGCCTGCCGCCGGTTCTCATTCATAGCCGATAGGGGCCGCGACCAATGTAACGGTCATCGGCGATATCAACTCCCAATTGCGTCGCATATGCAGTGTATCACCATCAGTGGGTAGTCCGACGGACCTAATGTCCAAGTTATCTCTGTCATGTATGTCTGGCTTCAGATAGACAGCTCGGGGCGGATCCTTACTATAAACTGATCATCTAGATATATTAGCTTGTTTGGTACAACTAGGTGGATTTGGACGAGAGAAGAACTTAATACATAGTTTATTAAAACCTTACAGTACTATTAGTATGTTCAGTTTGGACATTTCTTTCCGTTATGATTATTGGCTTCTGGATGTACTCTTTAGACATATAGGATATTATTCATGATATGCCTATACTGTTCCCATGAGGCTTATCCTAATCCTAACGAGTATAGCCAATGTTATCTTAGTTCATGTACAACTACTGACAAAGGCGTCTAGGTATTAAGGAAGAGTATGTAGTGATTTCCTTGCCGATGATTGTCTTCGGGGTAAAGTACCGGATGTATAAGAAAGGAAGGGATGAAACTGCCATTAATGACTAGATCAATTGAATTGAGCGGAGACTAAACTTAATGGAGAAATGATCTCCAAATCGGAGGCCCACTGTGGGAGATTCAGCCAATAATAGACAATCTTCAAGGTGCGTTCGGTTTTGTCCCCAACCCTAGCGGGGGACGGTAAGATTACCCCAGTAATTCATAGCCAGACTTTTATGCCGGCACAAGTAGATAGACTGATAAAGTAAAATATAATTCTTCTATAGCTTGAAACAGAGGAATCTGTGGAGACGGGGTGATATTAACTCACTTTCTGCAGTCCCCACATACCGGCCCCACCGCTTCACCCGAACCGGATTTCACCATACGGGGATTCGTCATCGGCAATAAGGAAGGAGGATAAGTATTAAGCGTAAATGTACCTCTGCTGTGGTGACGTATAAATGTGTGTACACTCTTTCCAAAATCTTCAATAGCATACACTCTTTCACCTACCCACCGCTCGTTCTTTTTTTTTTTTCTCTTCTTCACCTTCCTTTGCAAACTGCCGCCAATATGAAACTTGCCAATGCCTCAGTTCTAGCAATGTTACCGGCCACTGGCCTGGCTGCCTGCGGCACTCCCTACTCTGGCAGCCAGATCAATGGTACACTGCTCCGCGCCGTTGTGCTTGACATGGGCAGCGATGCTGCCAACGTCACCGCCACCCAGTACGACCAGTACTTCAAGCAGGGGAGCGCTCTTGAGGGCGTCAAATCTGTCATTGCCAGCAGCGATTTCTACATCAACCTGTGGGCCATCCCTGGCACCGAGTCCGCCTTTCAGAGTGTCAGCCAGTGCGTGAGCGACGGCTATCTCGTTAACCAAGTAGCCTGGCTGTATTACAACAGTACCACCGCGAAGTGGTGGGGTGGCTACGAGGCTGAGACTGAAGCAGACAGTTACAATGCTGCCGCCCTGTCTGTTGTCACCAACCTCGTGGCTGGCCTCGAAGTGCGCTTCTGGGACACTAACGGAGATGGCTACACCGATGTCATCGATGCCGACTATCTCGAGGGCGTTACCGTCGACACCATCACTCACAACGCCAACGGGACTTACTCGATTTACCGCGGAAATATTGACGTCGCAGACAAGACGCGCTGGGAGGGCACCAACTTTGACGCCGACCTTTTCGCCGGCTCCGGCCCGGCTATCCCTGAAAATAACTTTGACACCACTATTTCACCCGGCGACGTCGCGCTCTTCTGGTACGGTCCCAAGGGCTGGGCCATGAAGCGGGCCCAAGAGGTCGTCGGCCTCTTTGTTGGCGGCGCCGACCACACCTCCTACAACATTGATGGGGTCTCCTATGAAGACGCCATGCGCTTTTCACGCGACAACCTGTTCATCTCCAACCGGCCTGGCGAGTTCACCGACGCCCAAAAGTTCTTCAAGTTTACCAATGATTCAGCCGCTGGCCTCAATGTTAGCCTCTGGCTTGTGCCCGTTACCCACACCACCGAGTACGGCGCGCCCGTCGGCATGACGAGCGACGGCAACTCGCGCATCTTCCTCGCCAGGGCTATTGCCCAGGCTCAGGCGCAGCTAGCCAACGTGACTATCAGTAGCAACGGCTCCAACGTCCCGTCCACTCAGGAGTGGGTTAACCAGGCCAATTACACCCAACTCCACGACGCCATCGCTAGGGCCAACCTGTCGCTTGCCCTTGCTAACAGCTCGTCTTTCCTACTTGACTACCAGACCTACGTGCTGTACCAGACTCTCAACGGCAGTAGCACCGACATTGGTGCCGCGTTCGCCGGCTTCAGCTACACTGGCTTTGAGAACGCAGAGAAGCTCGGGACAGCCTAAATGCATCTTTCCTATGCCCCCGAGTCATTATATCTCAGTACCCATGAATCATTTACAGATTCTATGTAGATAGACACATCAAATAGCATAGTCTTATAACCTAAGCCCCTCCAATCAGGTCTAGTGTAGCAAGGTAACAAGGCAAGGATTTCAGAGTAGAAAGTACTACGATCATACTGGGTCGAGTTTGAATGTTATTATTGGAGGGCAAACTGAAGTAATCATAAACTAGAATATTCCAGGTGCGAGTCCACCCTGGCAAAAAGGATGAAGGCGCATCGCGATC